CAGGCCCTGTGATTATGGAGCTCCTTGGTATTCTTGGCATGGCGCAACACATGCATAATAAGTAGTACATCTTCTGATGAAGCTAATCACAAAAGCTACTTACCAATATTTATGAACAATTATGTCCACCTATGAAAAAATCTATATTGTTCCGCTGTGGCTAAATAATACTGGTTATATTGTGCAACAAATGTATGTGATGTGTTGGGAGCAATCAGTCCCTAGCTCTTTTATGATGATGGATTTTAATGAATAATACATGTTAGAATAAAGTATCTTTTAAGCACTTTTGAGTTTTGTATTTTCCTGCACCTTTGAAGTCCTACTGTCTATAATAAGAGATCTATTTATCTATTTAATCTATCTATTAATTGTAACCATGTTAAATATATCTCTTTTGTTTTTGGTAATGTAATTATTAATGCATGTATTTATGTTATTTATCTATTTATTATTTTAATTGGTGGTACCCACTGGAGTGCGCACTGCCTAGAGCCAAGTCTGCAAACTGTGGATTAGCTGCTGCTGAGACCCAGGGCATTATTTGATATGTAGTAAAAGAGAAAAATGTCACTTTTATGCAAACAGAAGCAATAACCCCCTATCCTCTGAGTCTGGTAAGCCAAAATTACAAATTAAAGGCCATGAAAGAACTAACAATAATATAAATTCTGATATTACTGGCTTGACTTCACACATTCTCGGGAATATCAGGAGCTGCTGCCTCTTATACAGTGATACACCATAGAACATAAATATAGTCTGGCTAATACAATACCCATCACTCTCCCAAAAAAAATCCCTCTCACCAGCACACTGCCCTCTATTTTTTTGTCTCTACTCTTTTCTCCTCTTCTCGTCACTTCTATTTACTCTCCTCACTTTTAGCTTCTTATTCTAGCCTTGCAGACTTTCTACTGAATTTTTTGTAGCATCCTCTGTCTACAGTGTAGGAAAATTTAGTTGGGCTCCTTTGTTTAGAGTTAGTTGGCAGAGCTCCAAGGACTGAGTCTCTGTTGCCTCCCCCTGGCTTCTGGAACTGCTGGAGAGTTCTAGAACTTAGAGGGTGGAGGGGCAGACATGAGGCCGGAATATTTATGGAGTCTCCTCCAATCCCTGGGCGGGGACAGCCCAGAAGGTGGAGAAACAGTCCATAAATATTCTGGAGCCTGGCCACATGGGGGCAGTATCCAGGGTCCAGTTGCCTGGAGAGGACCCCTATGCTGGGGAATTCTGCCCCTGGGCAGAAGAAAGAAGCCAGAGAGAGAACGAGAAGAAACAGAAGCCTCACACTCTTCTAGCCACAAATAAGCTTAGTTGAAACCATCCTGGGAGCCATTGGGACCTGTCCAGCAGGAGACCTGTGCAGCAGTCACATCTGCTTCAGAATTCACCAAAGGGACTGATGGAGTAGCTTCAACCACTAAACCCCAGAGCCTGTTAGATCAGAAGCAGTCGGGTGCAGGGGCGGACTGACCATTTGGAAACTCAGACACTGCCCGAGGGCCCAGGGTCAGTAGGGGGCCCCATGAAATTCCCCTGGTACCTTTTTCATAGGATTTTTTGAGTTTGGGCAAGGACACAGGGGCCCCATGATCCTCTATTGCCCGGGGGCCCCATGAGTTGTCAGTCCGCCCCAGGTCGGGTGCAATACCCAGCTTGCTTACTAACAAGGGACATCTTAGATCCACTTAAAGCCACTACAGCTACCCTTCACCTCTTACCTGGGGAATCTAAGGAACAGCCAGGTGCCTTGGCAACCTGCATTCAGTGTTTTAAATTCTTTGTTACCTGTTAAACTGATCCAGCTATCATACAGGAGGTCAGCCTAGTAATTTTCTGGTAGCCAGAGACAGTTTCAAGTCCTCAAGTTGTTTTAAAGTACAGTTCTGGGCATCCCAAACCTTCCAATCCCTATCCAAGTTTATTCCCTAATAAACAAAAAAAGCACCCTGGACTGTTTTTTGACTACTGAGTGAATGCTGTAAAACTCCTGTTGCCTGGCTGTGCATGTGAAGGGGACCCAAAAAACCAGCGGCCCAATTTTGCATTAGCTTTTTTCAGCTTTTTTTTGTGTTTTTCAGCGTTTGCACTTTTGAGCAAAATTATACTCCCACAAAATCTTCAGGCTCAAAAACAATCAAAAGCCGGATAGCCACGTTTTTTAGCGTTTTTTCAGCTTTTATCAGCGTTAGAGCATTTTTACAGCTAAAAAACTCCTCTTGAAACCCACTAGTTCTGGGGGGTTTTTCCAGCCAAAAAACACTGATTAATGCCTATGTGTGCATGAACACATAGGACAATATGCTGGGAAGTTTACTGGCTGTAGAAAATAAGCGGCAGAAGCCAAAAACAGCAGCTGTAATAAAGAAAACCAATGCAGCCAAAACATCCAAGAATTGGTAAGTTGCAATGTAATAAATGCTAGCTTTTGTTTGGGTTAGTCCTCGTGCACACTGGACATTTTGATAATGCTGGTAACGTTAGCTGTGCAAAGTCACATTAAAAACGTGACTTTTTTAGCTTTTTTTTAGCATTTTTGCATTAGTGTTTTCCCACATTTTTCCGCATTTTTTTTGTGTTTTTTTGGGACCAAAAAAAAATTATTTTCTTTGGTCAAAAAAAGTCCAAAAACCCCGGTTTGAGGCGTTTTGACACATTTTCAACATTATAGCATTTTTACAGCTAAAAAACTCCTCTAGAAACCCACTAGTCCTGGGCTTTTTTTCCAGACAAAAAAAATCCCAGCCAAAAAACGTTGATTACAGTCTATGTGTGCATGGACACATAGGATAACATGCTGGGGGGGGGGTTTACTAGCTGTAGGAAAAAATGTGAAAAGCCAAAAACAGCCGCTGTAAAAACGTCCAGTGTGCATGAGGCCTAAAAGAAAACCAGTGCAGCCAAAACATCCAAGAATTGGTCAGCTGCAATATAATAAATGTTTGCTTTCGCGTGGGGGGGACTGACAACTCATGGGGCCCCCGGGCAATAGGGGATCATGGGGCCCCTGTGTCCTTGCCCAGACTCAAAAAAGCCTATGAAAAAGGTACCAGGGGCATTTCATGGGGCCCCCTATTGACCCCGGGCCCTCGGGCAGTGCCCGAGTTTCCAAATGGGCAGCCCTCCCCTGCTTTCGGGTTAATACCGCTTTCCCAAGTCCCAACCTTGTGAAATGCAAATATTAGACCTGTCTCACAATGTTAGGGGCAAGTGACACCTGAAATGTGTTAACAGATGATGTGGAGTAATAGGAGGCAAAAGGTGTGACATGGGATTTGAATTTGAAACTACAGTGATTGATACCTGCATTGGGTGATATTAGGACTGCACAGGAGAGTTGATACAAATGCCATTCTCTTTATCTTGTGTGCTTGCAATCCATAATAAATATGTTTTTAAGTGCTGCACTGTGCCAGTTACCTAGTGGTTTTTCATCGTTGCAGCTAGCAGATATACATGGTACAAATGACATTTTACAACTGCTATTACTGTACCACTGGGAACTGCAAACAGTGTAATTTCAAATTCTTGTAGAACTGCACAGGGATCGGAATGCACAGCTAAGTATAACATATTGCTGACATAGAAGCAAAGGTGTCAAAGATCCAAACATTTCTCATTGCTTATACCTTTTAATGCTTAGAAAAGAATATAGAAATATATCGAATATAGAAAAAAACAAAACAAAATTGTGCCCTTGCTTTTGCTTCTCACTCCGCTTCTAATTTATTCTAACTCAGTGATAGTTCACCTTTAGGTAAATAGCAGCTTGCAACACTCACCAACATCAAAAAACTCTCAGAAGCTCTGACAGTAAGATCTCTACTGCTCCCCCACCCACTCACAAGGTCTAACTGTTACACATTTCAAATTGACTTTACATAATGCAACATTAGGGAAAAGTGTATTTAGTGCTGGAACACACAGCAAGGATGTCTGGTAACCAGATCTCACCGAGAACTCCAAGAGATTCAAACCCTATGGGACCAAGTGAAATATTGGTTTTCCATGGACTTATCCTGTAAGGTCAAAAGTGAGGCTGCATCATTTGCAAGTTTAAAAGAACTTGTGAGGGCAGTGACATAACAGTATACTCTCCTGTGCCTCAGCTGTTTGTTAGCTCTTGGTAACCAAGGAGCTGAAAAATTGCATCTTACATCAAAAGCATTGTGAATCCTTATTGACTTCTTATTCCTTCCCATAGAAACCTACTATCTCAGGTGCCTTTCTAAACCCTTTAGAGGAATCAACACTCACGCCATCAACTGCAAAGAACACCAGTCATTCTGACTTACGATTTCAAGACAAATTGACACTTCTAAGGTGTGCTGATATACTGTATTCTTTTATTTAAAAGAAAAAAAAAAAACAGAATATGCACATTGCTGGTAATAAGTCAAAACATGAATCATTTAAAATATTTTAAAAATTTTGTTTTTTAAAACCCATCTTCGGAAAAAAATGAAATCCAGGCTCCATCTCCCACCAACTAGCCTTCACTATTTTTTAAAGGCTCTCCAAATCCTTCTGCAGTACTTCTTTCACTAGTGCAGACCAGTTATCCTGAGATACAGTATGGGCCAACCACCAAACATTCTTATTGCCCCCTGTTGTGGCACCACATCAAGATAAGTGCATGTACACTGCAAGCATACTAAGAGATATAGAACATTAAAAATAGTATAGCAAAAAATGCCTGCACTAATTCCCACCACCTAAAAGTGTAAACCAACTATATATTCCACTGGATATTTATAAATGTAACTAGTGAGAAGTGAAATATATTAATAAAACAATAATAATATGCCACATGCAAATATGTGTAATAATTCCACTATGTGCACAAAAAATCTTAAAATAATAAAAGTCCACTAAATTAAATAGCGAATGTTCAAAGGAAAATGTGAGGGGAAAAAGACCTACGCCAATAGTTGGACACCTCTCCAAATCATTAGATTCAGGTGTTCCAATCACCTCCATGGCCACAGGTGTATACAATCAAGCACCTAGGCATGCAGACTGCTTCTACAATTGTGAAAGAATAGGTCGTTCTCAGGAGGTCAGTGGATTCAAGTGTGGTACCATGATAGGTTGCCACCTGTGCAATAAGTCCATCCGTGGCATTTCCTGGCTACTAAATATTCCACGGTCAACTGTTAGTGGTATTATAACAAAGTGGAAGCAACTGGGAACAACAGCAACTCAGCTACAAAGTGGTAGGCCACGTAAAAATGACAGAGCGGTGTCAGTGCATGCTGAAGTGCACAGTGTGTAGAAGTTACCAACTGTCTGCAGAGTCAATAGCTAAAGACCTCCAAACTTCATGTGGCCTTCAGATTAGCACAACAACAGTGCATAGAGAGCTTCATGCAATGGGTTTCCATGGCCGAGCAGCTGCATCCAAGCCTTCCATCACCAAGTGCAATGCTAAGCGTTGGATGCAGTGATGTAAACTACACCACCACTGGACTCTAGAGCAGTGGAGACATGTTATCTAGAGTGACAAATCACGTTTATCTGTCTGGCAATCTGATGGATGTGTCTGGATTTGGTGGTTGCCAGGAGAATGTTACTTGCCTGACTGCATTGTGCCAAGTGTAAAGCTTGGTGGAGGGGGGATTATGGTGGGGGATTGTGGTGTGGGGTTGTTTTTCAGGGGTTGGGCTTGGCCCTTTAGTTCCAGTGAAGCGAGCTTTCAAGGCGTCAGCATACCAAGACATCTTGGACAATTTCATGCTCCCAACTTTGTGGGAACATGTTCCAACATGACTGCGCACCAGTGCACAAAGCAAGGTCCATAAAGACATGGCTGAGCGAATTTGGGGTGGAGGAACTTGACTGGCCTGCACAGAATATACCAACCTTAACCCAATAAAATATCTTAGGGATGAATTAGAGCAGAGACTGCGAGCCAGGCCTACTCGTCTGACATCAGTACCTGACCTTACAAATGTGCTTTTGGAAGAATGGTCAAACATTCAAATAGACGCACTCCTAAACCTTGTGGACAGCCTTCACAAAAGAATTGAAGCTGTTATAGTTACAAAGGGTGGGCCAACTCAATATTGAACCCTACAGACTAAGACTGGGATGCCATTAAAGTTCATGTGCATGAAAAGGCAGGCTTCCCAATACTTCTGGCAATATACAGTAATGTATATCCTCTAGAAGAGATTGTGAAGATAGGGGTATCCGAAGATAGGTATAACGCTTCCACCAGACTTTAAGAAACCGCAGGCTTACCAAATGGGAATTCGAGGTCAGACATCATGTGTGGCAAACACATAGGGCGGAGCCTGCTATGTCATTGTGTAACCAGAAGTCAACTCCAAAGTGCTTACAGTATATTACAGCCTGGCGAGTTTTGTTTGTACAAGTGCTATTACCAAATTTTAATGTGACTGCAAATTTATCTTATATTTTATCTTATAATAAAGTTTCTGGATGGTTTTACGTTATTTGGGATTTTTTGTCTTTTATCTTCTCATGAGCTGTGGTGATTGATGGCTGACTAAGGAGATCCCAGTCATATGTGGCTGGAGTGGAACAAACCCTCATCCAGCTTCCTGTCCTGCCATCTGGTGAAACGTACGCAGAAGTGTGATCCCGTGACTTCTGGGTTCCCGTGACGTCACATCCAGCCTATCAAAAGCGTGGCTTGGAGCGCACGTCGGCCATATCATTGGTATCACATCTCTAAATGCCACATAAACTGGTGTCGGTTGTTTGGGTACCACTACATGTGAGTTCATTGACCTATATTCGTTTGTTATGCCAATTTTCTAATACATTCTACATTTAGAATATATTTAAATCACGTGGTTTATTTGAGCTACTTGGAGCACCACCTTCAATTTGAGGAGTCTCTCGAATCGATCTACTATTGACATATCCAGAAGTATATGACCATCCAACCGGGGGCAGTTATCCTTGATTTCGTGGATCCTTATCCCCTACTAGGAGAATGGGAGTTCTGATTTAGGAGATCCTGTTGTTGGTCATCCACATCTATGATAACAAAGTCTATCTGACCACCTTAATCGAGGTCTGTCTATTTTTTCTGTTGAGTGAGCCATTCACTTATTGTCTGCATGTGGTGAAAGAGCACATTTTCGGTCTACGGGACTACATCTTCATGGGACTGTCACTATAAAGTTCACTATATATTGTTTTTTTGTATAGGAACATCTTCTGAAAGATGATGTAGAGAGTTCACTGCATCATTCATATGTTTTTTAATAATTTATATGCAATTGTTGTAGCGCCTACCTATTCACATATTTTATTGTTTAAGTGTGTTTCACTTTTTAGGAGCAGCTGACAAATTTTCTGCCTGGTTTAATGTGGGCAACACATTTTATAGTTTGGTTATTCAGGAGCCACAATATTCTAAATATTTAAATCACTTACAATAGTATTTTGAATGCCCATAGGATTGTATATGAGGTATCACACAACAATATAATTAAAAAAACTTTTTTCACAATAGAACAATTACATATAAAACATGTCTCATTAAAATGAACTAGCTGATCTACTATAATTAGAGTTGCATAATTAACACATAACTACTATTATTTAAGTTCCACAAAATAACAGTCAAATGCCACAATCAAGCGCATCCCAATTATTGATGTGTTTTGTGAACCTAATTTACTTCCTGAGTAAATGCAGTAGATATAGTATCTGCAGATCAAAAAAAATCTAATTTAAGAATATTGATATAAAGAAATGCACCCCTAAAATATAGAGGGGGAGATTTAAAAAAAATATTATACCTAAATCCAAAAACCTCTACTTACAGATCAGCTTATAGCTGATAAAAATGATTATTGTTCAGAGGCTTCCACATTATATAAGCCAATGGCTTGTCTGCCCAGGTAGCTGATGAAGGGGGTGGATACCCCCACCCCTTCCCCAGAAAACAGCAACCAAAGAACCACAGCAAGTAGTTGGATGGAAATTAAGAGGTAACAGAAGCCCATAATACCAACATGACAGAAACCTATATAATAATGAACATGAAAATATAAATTGGTTTATCCAATGTGTGACGCCAAAGGCCCAGAAGAAAAGGAATGCCATGTGTATGGGATTGTTTCCAAAGGATAAGAAGGTATATAACGTGAAATAACAGTTATAATGTATCCATGTATTATTTCTCCTAAAAAAGTGAACCCTTTATACAGAAATACCAATGACAAATAGACAATGTTCTGGAAGTGTACCACTTTAAATATAGGGGTTAGCCTGCAGCCTTGCAGGATCAGCATCCTCCAAGTCTATAAAAGGATGAGCCTCTATGTACTCTCTTCTCCTGCTTTAAGGTATCCACCATACAGCTCTTCTTTCTTGACTTTCTTCATCACCAGTTTTGAAACTCACAGCCCTGTAGCTTAGGATAACAAGGCACTCCCCTGCTCCTCCCTCCTCCACCCCCTCCCTTCTGAAAACTAACAGACTGACTCCAGGCTGCACTGTCCGTGAACTCTTTCCTGTAAACACCAGAAGTTCAGGGAAGCAGCACTAAGACAGCAGGAGTCAGCAGCATTAAAAGTTGTAAACTGCAAGTGCTAATAAGAATTTTTAACAAATAGTTTCCTGGGAAATGTTTATTTCATTGTGCTCAGTGTGTTAAGCTAAAAATGCTGAGGGTTTAATTCAATTTTAACACAGGCTGCCTATGTATTATGTATATGACACTGCTCAAATCTCATCAGTCACTAGCCATTCATATCAAGTAAAGTGAATTGAAGCAACCTGATGATAACACTACCAATTAGTAGTTCAATGTGAACAATATGAGGATGATAATGAGAAAGCTGCCAGTTTCTAATGCAGTGGTGGTCATCCAGGTCAGAGACTGCAGACATACTATGGGAGATGGTGAGAGACTGCAGACATACTACACAATATGGTCAGAGACTGCTAACATACTACAGGAGATGGTCAGAGACTCCAGACATATAACAGGAAACGGTCAGAGACTGCAGACATACTACAGAACACGGTCAGAGACTCCAGACGTACAACAGAAGATGGTCAGAGACTGCAGACATACAACAGGAGATGGTCAGAGACTGCAGACATTCTACAGGACATGGTCAGAGACTGCAGACATACTACAGGACATGGTCAGAGACTTCAGACATACAACAGGAGACGGTCAGAGACTGCAGACATAAAACAGGAGAAGGTCAGAGACTGCATCCATACTACAGGACACAGTCAGAGACTGCAGATATACTACAGGAGATGGTCAGAGACTGCTAAAATACTATAGGAGATGGCTAGAGACTGTTAACATGCTACAGGAGATAGTCAGAGACTCCAGATTTACTACAGGAGATGGTCAAAGAATCCAGACATATTACAGGAGATGGTCATAAACTGTAGACATGATACAAGAGATGGTCAGAGACTGCAGACATTCTACAGGACATGGTCAGAGACTGCAGACATACTATAGGACACAGTCAAGAGACTTCAGACATACAACAGGAGACTGTCAGAGACTGCAGACATAAAACAGGAGATGGTCAGAGACTGCATCCATACTACAGGACACAGTCAGAGACTGCAGATATACTACAGGAGATGGTCAGAGACTGCTAACATACTATAGGAGATGGCTAGAGACTGCTAACATGCTACAGGAGATAGTCAGAGACTCCAGATTTACTACAGGAGATGGTCAAAGAATCCAGACATATTAAAGGAGATGGGCACAAACTGTAGACATGATACAAGAGATGGTCAGAGACTCCAGACATACTACAGGACACAGTCAGAGACTGCTAACATACTACAAGAGATGATAAGAGACTCCAGACATACTACAGGTGATGGTCAGAGACTGCAGACATTCTACAGGACATGGTCAGAGACTGCAGACCTGATACAGGAGATAATGAAAAACTGTAGACATGATACAAAAGATGGTTAAAGACTGTGCACATACTACAGGAGATGGTCAGAGATTGCAGACATGATACAGGAGATGGTCAGAAACTGTAAAAATTATACAAAAGATTGTCAGAGACTGTGGACATACTACAGGAGATGGTCAGAGACTGCAGAACTTCTGCAGGAGACTCTCCGAAACTGTGAACATGTTAGTAGTTGTTAGAGTCTGCTTCAGGAGATGGATGGACAGGAGACATACTACATGAGCCTGCTAGAAATCACTACTATACTGGGGCAATAGAGAAACACAGATTAGTGGCTACAGGGGCCCCAAGGGCCTTACAAATAGTGCCAAAGGGCCAAAGGTTGAGCACCAGGGCCCTAATGTATACTTACAGAAATCAAAATAACTGATGAAGGCTGACTGCTAAATAAATAATATAGACAGCAGTTTACAAGCATTAACAATTGAATTCTCTGTTGTGGAACTACATTTCCCATGAGGCATTGCAACATTACAAAACTGACAGTTACAGCTATGACTTGCAGAGGCATCATGGAACTTGTAGTGGGCATTAACAATTGAATTCTCTGTTGTGGAACTACATTTCCCATGAGGCATTGCAACATTACAAAACTGACAGTTACAGCTATGACTTGCAGAGGCATCATGGAACTTGTAGTCCTGCAACAGCTGGAG